GTGCTGCCTTTCAGATAAGACATCAAGCTCAGGTCCTGACTACTGTACTTGGCCATTGAAGAACCCATTACATGTTTTGAAAGAGAAGAAGTGTTAACTCCTGGTTACATCATTCAATCTGGCGAATTCATCTGATGAAGACAATACTCAGTGGTCCTTCTGATCTGCTCTGTAACATGACTCTGGGAGTGCAGAGTGGTTTCTATGGGTCACCCCTGGAACACACTTCAGGGCAGGATGAACTGGGTCCCTGCCTGTACTGTATGTACAGCAGGTGGCGATCCTTTAAAAAATTATCTTCGTACAAATTTCATCTGGTTTTGAAAAGAGGAGGTTGTGGAGGGATCCCAAATCCTTTAAAAAAAGTTAATTGAAAATAAGGGATAAATTACCTCTATTATGCCCACATGTTTCTCAGATTTACATACATTTATACCTGTGTGTATTTGAAAAGGCACTGAAATCACAGCTGTCAGACAAGGAGGCTACAATTAGCATGCTGACTACGACTCTTAAATCCTCCCAGGCAGAGCTGGACCTCACAGTAAGGAGCTTCTGATATTTTTCATACTGTGTGCAGTAGCAGTAGTTTATACTCAGATTGTGAATGATCACGCTTAGTTGTGCTGTCTCATTATATATGACTTCAGATAATCTATTTTTCCAAAAAGGTGACATTCCACAGTGGGAAAACGAGACTTTCAGTTAAATGGCATTTAGAGTTGAATGCTAATTTAGCCTTGAAACACAAACTTTTTTTGGTCTTTGGTTATTCCAGTTTTGCTTGTTTTTCAACGGCAGAAAGAAAAGCTGGCAGCCTTGGTGAGGCTGTTCAGTCAGAGAGTGTTGACGATGGACGAGAAACAGGGAGATCACCGCCTTGCACTCATCACTGAGATTGTAGGCAACAAGTTGCAGCACAAGATAGAATCCCCACACCATGAAACTGCAGAGGAACCAACTGACGCTGGTAATAGCAATAGAAATCTGGTTAACTCGCGCTCCCAGAGGTTGATGGCTCTTTGGACAGCTACATGATGCTCAGCTGTGATTATCATAGATGGCAATAGCATTTTCATATTATAATAGCATCTTCATCAAGAAAAAAAATAGCTGTAACCAAATTGTAAAAACCCCAAATCAAAGCCGCCTGTTTTATGCTCTTATGCCTTTCTGTCCTTTGTGCTCCAGACATGGATGCTGCATCGGGATAAAATCTGCAGAGAGAAACATTCCTCTTAGAAAAGTTCCAGCTCTTCTTTGATCAATCAGGATGATACTTCTTTGCCACAGACAGCCCAACCCTTGAACCCTTCCAAAGTTGCGTAAAAATAAACCTCTTACACATTTTGTACACTGTACTGCAATTATACTAGACTATACTGTATATAAGTTGTATGGTTTTGAACTTGTTGTTGCTATTGCTGTTCTGTGTTTATGTTTTCGGTCATTCCTTAATGTCCTTGTATCGCAGTATACAGTACATGCAAATAAGCATTTCATTGCACTGGTGCATATGACAAATAAACTCAATTAAACTGAATGGCGACCACCACAGTATATTGTTACAGTTGCAGCCGGTCCTAATTAACCCCTCATTGCCCAGTTTCCCTCACACACCCCTGCGTTTACTATTTAAACCCTCAGTTCACCTGGTAACAGTGCTCGGTATTAGGAATTTATCCGCCACCTGAGCTTGCAACGTCCTCGAACCCCTGGCTACTGAAATACAGACCTGTCTAGCACTGGCCCTTTTGACTAATCTTTCGTCTCGCCCCTTTTTGGAATTGTTTGCCTAGCGGCCTTCTCTAATCGTGGTGGGTACTCCAGTGTCACGCCCTCTGCAGCCGGAGGACGCTCCTACTCTGTCCTGTCCCTAGTTTCCTGTAATTTGCTGTCCTTCTGGTGTCTCTCTCTCTGGGGCTATATATTGCCGGGTCACTGATTCACCTTCGCTCAGCATTAAAGTTCGGATGTCCTGAGACCTGCCTAGCATCCAGGTCGCCCCATGTCCGTTGCCTGAGGGCATAGGTTTCTATACGACTCCTGAACTGCTGAGCCTGGGCTAATTCCCCATTCCGCTGCTACGCATATGGGTCTTCTTCCGCTCTCCTGCCTCTCCACGGTTCGTCCCTTCCGACATCCATGACTTCCAGACTCAACCCGAGCTTTTGAGTCTTCTCACTCTCAAGTGTAAGGTGAAGGTATGCTGCTACTTTGCCCCTTTTCTCCAGGTGCCAACAACTCCGGTCAGCCCTGATTGCTGCAACACCTTAGAAAGGTAGGACACTGTTCCACCTTTGGACTTGTTGGGTTGCAGAAACGTTCCCTCACTTTCAGCCTTTGCTGCTCCCCCTAAGCTTCATGTAACCCCGTCCTAGTGATCATGCAGCCCATCTGTCCAAATCCTCTGGTGACCCTCGGCTCAGCCTGATCTGTATTTTCCCTAGAACCATCGCTTGCCGAATCACTCAGACCTGTAAGCCAGCTCAACCTGGTCCCAATGAAAACTGCCTTTAAGAGGTCTCTCTCCCTTCCCTCTTTCCAGCTTTTCCACCTGGATGTTCTCTCGCAGTTGGCCCTGGGGAGGGCCAGTTTCTCACAGGGCCTGTGAGGACAAACTCATGCCTATAACTACAGGATATGCAGAAATGATTTATTACTACTTGCAGAATTACACTCAAATATAGTAAACATTCAATGACAGGCTTAATGAAACATCTGAAAGGTTTCATGAGATGGATTAGCAAAGAATCACATTTAGTTCTCCAAGGTGGGATTATATCCAACATTCACTTTGGATATAAACAGTAGGTTGATCTGTACATTTGAAATTATATGTCTTAGAGAACAGTCTTAATTGTTTAAGAATCAGTACAAAAATCATTCTTCAGAAAGCTGTGGATTAAAGTGGTTGATGTTTATATTAAAATATGAGTACCTTGCCATCAGTTGATCAATCTCAATAGATCTAAGGGGGTGTATACAGTACATATCTTTGTTTAAGGCCATTACTGTACATTCAAGTATCCCGTGGGTCAGGAGATAGGTGTGATCTTTCTAAGCATAAATAGTCCCAATTGTGTTAATGCTCAATAACAATCAACCTGTAGTCCGAATATGATCAAGCCCACTCCACACCACACAGATATCACAGAACAGTTTCTATAAGACAGGTTAGGAATTGAGCTTGTTTGGTTGCTGATAACTGAGTGAACAGATGATCTCATACAGCCAGGGGTCTGGTTATCAGATTCACACAACCCCACCCAGCTCCCAGCTCCGCACAAACAACCCTGTGTGTAAAACGATGGCTGTGTAATACAGAATGCTTATTACTGTGAGGCAAGAAAAACAACTGGGTGATAAAACAAACACGTTAATAATACAAATACCTACTGCACATACCATAAACCAAAATTCTACTCGCTCCTAAGACATTCACATTGTCATTCACCAATTAGTCTCACATTTTACTGTCTGCTTTTATATACGATGTCAATGGTGAACTTTTTCACAGTCTGATTCAGATACGTGAACGGAAACGATATCAGTTTAGGTTTCCAATGTCACTTCTAGTCTCTCACCAGACCTGAGGACATGAACCCTTCGCAACTCCACAACAGCAACATTGAAGTCCTGAAGTCATCCACGTGTCACTCTTCTACAGCGCATTGAAATGCGGTTTTACAAACTCATCCTGGGTGGGGGAAATCGGAGGAGCTAGGGGAAATACAACGCTCATTTCTTTTGGAGCGGAAGGGTAGCAATAAAACTTACTGTAGCTGCCTAGTTGCAGATCCTCACGCTGTCGGTAAGAGTGCTGAATTGGCCCAAAGCAAAATCTAACCCCACTCCCACCCCACTCCCCACCCCGAACCCAGGATAGAGTGGCTCCACAAAGATGGCCTGGAAGGTGTGCAGGTGAGACATCGTGTCTGCAATGCTGTAGAAGGACAGGGTCCCCGCATTGTAGTCCAGGTACACGCCGATTCTGGGGGAGTAGGGCACCAAGATGTCTTTTTTCTCGTTCTTGTGGAGGGCCGAGCAGCAGGTATCGGACAGCTCCAGGCTCCAGGACTGGTCGTTGTAGCCTAGGCCACTACGCGCATCTCCTCCCTTCCGGGGCATCGCTTTGTACGCCACCCCTACAGAAGACCCCCTCCCACGCCATTCGATTTCCCAGTAGCAGCGGGTTCCTGACCGGCCTTCTTTGCACAGGACCTGAGTCCAGCCATCAAACCTCTCCGGTCGGTGGGGGTAGGGCTGGGTCTCCCTCATCAGAGTAGCTTTCGTGTTTCCCTCGGACAGGACAAGGCGTCTGTGTGCTGTGTCGGGATCGAATACCAGCTGACAGGAGTCTGAAAGGGAGGAAAAGGGTGGTGAGCGGGGAACTAGGAAAATCGAACAGCTATTAGGAAAGTCGCATGTGTTACGCCGCGGAAGACCAGGGACTGAGGCGGACAGATTTCACGGACGTCTGCTCTTTACTGTGCGTAACTCGGAACTGGAACAGAATGGCAAAACCCCGCCAAGGCACCCAAGCGTCCGTTAAAAGCGGTAACCCCCAAAACCCAAGGTGCAACAGCTTCATAAACCCCCAAACGGACGCTGTGCGAGGCATAACAACACACAGGCCAGGCACCTGTTAGTGACTGTGTACTGTATGTCCTTCACCCTGTTTTGCCTCTGTGTTTCTCTGTGTGATTGAGCGTGCTCCTGATTGTCTTTTCCTGCATCTGGGCATTGGCTTATGCAATTCCCTGTGGGCTAGTTAAGGATCCCCCTGTCCATTTTATAACCATTTAATCCACATCAGAGTCACTTGGGGGGAGAGGAGCCAAGTTATCGGGCTATTAACGGTGGTAGAAAATATGTGAAAACCCCAGAACAGTTATCTCACCAGTGAACTTATGCTGCTCTTAATGGGATTTATCACAGAATGGAATGCTCACAATAGAGAGTGGTCAGTGTCGCTGAAAATCACCGATGAATGAAACCAAATAAATACGGACTTTTACAAGGCCCATGAAAATGCTAAGAACATAAAGGTAATGTAATATTGACAATAGAATAAACTGCATTTTGAATCTCAATAGGTAAAATATGGATTTTCATAGGCTTTTGCAAGATTTTTTTTGTGTGTCAATGTATTCTTAAATGTTTTGTGTTCTAACTGCATTTTGTTTAGCTCTGCTTCTCTGGCAGTCTCAACATGTGTGTGTTTCCACGTCTGTTTAGTTGTGTCTGGATGTTTCTCTTTGTGTCCGTGTCTGTCAGTTGTCTCTTCACTTTAGAGAATCCCCATCAGAAGGAGTCGGGTTATCTGTCGGTAAAAGAACCTCACATTTTAGAAACTCTGGTCTAGTCCTGGGCTGTGGAGCCTGCAGACTATAGACAGAAATCGCTCTCACTGTGGGGAAAAAAAAAGAGAGCAAATCAGAAGTTGTGGAGGAACTTACAAATGCCCCTTCATTAGAAAAGAACTTACACTGTATCAGCAGAACTTCTGAAAATGATTAAAGTACAAAAAGAGCACAAAATAAATTCACTTTCAGCATAGAAGCTCACATGATTAAATAATACAGCCTACTTCCTTTACATTAAAGGTAACCAGACCCAGATGTTAACAGCAAGTTTCAAACATTAGAAATTGCAACAAGGAAAATGACTTTTAAAAGCATATACTGTATAATGGATTCTTCCTCAACAGACTTGTAAATCTGCTTGTGGTCAGTTCATATCTTAAAATCTGCCTGGATTGGTGGTGCCAGGTGACAGCTCTAGTGTGAGGGTGTGTAAAAAAGTGTGTCTCACTGTGTGAGAGGGAGACAGTGTACGGGCTTGACTTTGTTATTTGATGTTTCAAGGAAAACAGGCTTACATGGGGAGACCCCGCCATCATTGTGAAGATTTGGAGTTGCTGAGTCAAGGAAAGGATTTATTCCACCTGGGAGAAAAAAAAGGAGAAAAAACAGAACATTTTGAAAAAACAAAAGAGGGAAACATCCAGGAAGCAGAAACAGCACCCTTTTCTGTAGATTATGTCTTACCTTGGTCCATGAGTCTGGCAGCCAAAGAGTTTATCACTCCATTGTCAGCTGGACAGACGGAAAGAAATACATGTTCCAGTGTTAACCACAGCCTTTTTCTCTCTTCCACTTATTGTACACATCTGTCTTTACGTTGTCTGCCTATACTGTGGTGGCTCAGGTTTATAGTCTAATTTGTGAGTTCTCTTTTACTGAAAATTCACTGAAAATGGATTCACCTGTGGGGATTCCTCTTGTAATCGCAGGATTTGGGGTTGGCGGGTCGAGGAAGAGATCAACATTAACTGCACACAGAATAAAGAGAAAAAAGGTTGTGAGGTTACTGGATCTTTACTGTGTCTGACTGACACACACGTGCTCAGGCCTGGAGTGTTGCTAGGGAGTGTCTATCTCACTTTCTGTGTAGAGTGACACTGATCCCTAACTTCAAATAAAAGCAAGAATGGATTTTTTTTCATAGTACATTTTACTGAATTACCAATAACGTATTGACAATTTTTGAAGTGACTATTTTTCAGCGACACTTCAATGCTTAGACCTGAACAGTTTGTTACAGACGTGTTTTTAAAGTGTTGTAATCTGACATTGACAGTTAAAAACGTTTATTCCAAGCTGCACCTGTCCACATAAAACATGTAAAAGGGAACATAAGAAATGCAATGTGGGGATTCCGAGCAACAATTCAAAGGAACCAAAGTATGTGGCACCGTTTCGATTGAGCAATAAGGGGAATTTCTGATTCATTACTGAACGCTGTTGACTTTCGAAAAAAGATGATTCACCGTATTGTGTGAGAAGTCATTGTGCAACCTCTTACTAAGCTTAGCACTGCAGGAGATCGTCTCAAGCCCGTTGCTTGCTGCGATAATCTCCATCTCCCACTGCGATCCTGAACCGAACGAAGCATTTAGATGGACTACAGGTGATGGGTTTTACTACTGTACTATACAGGGATTGCTAGTGAAGCACTCTTGGGTTCACGTGGGTATGCGCCCTCGCCTCTGCCACCTCAAGTTGGCCCCCCACCGTCAGGGACTCAAACCCAGGCCTCCGGCATCACTCAACAGGGACCCAGCTAGTTGAGCTAAAGGGAAATCTCCCCTCAGCCCAGCGGCTGCGGTCCCTGCTATTCACAGGGAAGGGTGGTGACGTCACCGCGCTGGTAAGCCGGCTCTCACAACCTGCAATGGTGGCCGTATGCATTACACTAGTATATTATTTCCCAGGCACCTTCACTTCAGTTCTTGCAGAGCTTGGGCCACTCCCAGCCCCAGTGAGCTCTCCGTCAAGCTTGACCTTGCCTGGGGACTGCAGAATCGCAAGCTCGTAGGGCTCCCCCTGTACTCTAGAGCACAGCCTTTTGCTGAGAACCACTGAGGCGGTTTTTGCAGTGGAAGTAGGCTAAAATATCAATTGATAAGGTGAGCATCCTTGATAGTAAAGATAGTAAAGCTTACCTTGTGGCTGTCTGCCTGGGGTCTGACTTAGACTGTTCCTTCCTCCTCGACTGGCTAGAGAGGAAGAAATATAAAAATGGGCAAAAGAGACAAACTGGGAATTCAGTGTTAAAGTCATCTATTATTCCCGTTGTTCAATTTACGGATTAAAATGACATCTCATTCAGGTCTAGCCTTCTTTGAGACAAGCCTGATATTGTCAATTGAATTAATTCTATACTTTATCCCAATTTTTCTGAAGCATACAGTATTTATGTTTATAAGAAGTATGTTCTGCTATGTGTCATCAAGACTTCTGCAGGCACAATACAGTATTTTGCCTGAGCCAGGTGTTTTTCCATTCTTTGCAGCTTCTTCTACTTCTGACGACTGATCACTTTCTCTTCAGTGCTTCCCACTTCACTTTTCTGTGATTGCTCTGGTGTTTTGAACTCCATTTGGATGCTGTAGTTCTCAGTTTCTATGCATATTCTGTAAAGAAGTCTCTTGTACATGACATTGTTGTCCATTCTTATCTTCTAATGCCATTGTTCTTGTTAGATTTGTTATCTTTGTCAGGCTTTCAAAATTCTCTCTGTTTTTGTTCTTATAATTGCTTTGGATTGAATCACAGCTGCCTAGATGTCAGTCAGTTTTGTCTTTCTTTATTTCATTTCTTATATTCACATTTGCTTTTTTTGAAGGTTGCCTGACTCTGAATGTACAGTGAGCCTTTTGCTTTCAGTAATCATGTGCACATTTCCATTATTCTGCTGTTCATCCACTGTACATTATGTTTCTTAGCTTTCCCAAAAAAATATTTTCGGGGACAGTTTTCATTCTTTGTTTATTTTTGTATACACTTTAGTTTTTGTGTTTGCCATTCACCAAATTGAATGTGTCATCTGATCAGACTTAATTCTTTCTGATTCTTGCAAGTGCCATTAGGAGACACTTGTGTCTCTCCTCTTGATGAGTTCCATGCTTCCCAGCTGTGTTGTGCCATTCTCTTTTTGTGTCAACTTGTCACTTTACCTTCTATGTGTAACAAAAGCGTTCTTTCAGGACCCTATGCAGACGACACGATCTGGGGTAGAGTGAGGAAAACACAGGGAAAAAGCATGCAGGAGTCGGGAATGAAAACAGGGGGCGTGTCCATGGTGCGCTGGTGTTCGGGGGAGGTGTGGCCGAGGCAAACAATCCAGGAATAAGTCCAAGGGGGAGTCCAAGAGAAGGCGAAAATCCAAAACCGGGCGGTCCATTCAAGACAAACGGAATAAAAACGGGAACCAGGTCGGAACCGACAGGAACA